AAGTAGGGGGCTTTTGTAGACCAAACATTTTAAGGAATTTTGGTAAAAGGCGCAAATCAAAAAGTTGTATCGTTGCTGAGATATTGATATTTTACGAAAAGCCCTGAAAAACGTAGATTCCGCCATCCATTAGAAAAATCGGTACTTTTGCCGCGCACCATCAAATTAGTTGAAACTAAGGTAATATATCCAGAATTTCACAGTGAATCCGACAGCGGGCTTCTTATAATTATACTTTGAGTTTCTGATAGGGTCGCCACGGTCTTTGCTATTTCTTATAGTAAATTTAGACATTTTTCCTGTTCTGTTACTTTTTTCGTTTTTTTCTGTTTTCTTTTCTTCTTTCCACGTGCACATTCTGCCGTGTTTTCTCTTTTGTATAGACGATATATTCGAACATCGAATAACAGATAGAAAAAATTTTATTCTAAGATAAGTTTCTTTTATATAAACGCCTCAAAGTTCGAATCAAGCAGAAACAGTGATGAATTTAAATTTTTACACGAAAATATCATCTCTGCCATTTTTTATATTTTTCCCTAAGAAATATAATTGCTCTTACATCTTTTGTGACGATTTATGATCACCTTTTTGCATGATGTTCGCGAAGAAAAAATTGGGTAAAACATCGTGCAATAAAGTCAATAATTTGATTGCTGCAGTCCTTCAAAAGTATTAAAATCAAAAAGGAACAACTATAAACAAGTTCATTAAAAAAGTGTAGAGATGATAAACATTCATTCAACGTCCTGGTATCTTCTTTTACGGACTGCTGTCAAAACGCTGTTTGTATTTTTTAGTATTAATCTTTAGTATCTATAAAAAAGAATTCTGGCTTCCGTTTTCTACTTCTCTTCAATCTTGTTTTTATTTTTGTATAGTCCGACTAACGTTAGAACTTTGCGAGGAAAGACAAACTAAAAGTTGAGCAAAATATTTTTGTGAAAGTCAATATAATGCAAGAAAAGGGACGCGGAATCAAAAATCGACAACAAGAAAATCGAAATTGATTTATTAAGTATATAAATTAATTTTTACTTTTGATTTTGAAAGGTTTTATACACCTAATAGTTGAAGATATGTATGAAATCGTGAGCGTTAATACGATTTCTATTAGCGATTTACAAAGTAGTGGAAGTTTTCTTTTACATTATTATCAGGATCTTGATCTGAAGAAAGACAAAGAATTTTATTTTCTGTCAAGAAATCTTGCTTCTTGTACAAGGTTTCAGTTTGAGTCGAAGAACAGGAAAAATCCCAAATTTCAGGATCAGACAAACTCTCTCTGCAAAGAGCTTTTTCTCGAGGCAGTGGGACACTAATTTCACGATGTTTTACCCAATTTTTTCTTCGGGAACATCATGCAAAAAGGTGATCATAAATCGTCACAAAAGATGTAAGAGCAATTATATTTCTTAGGGAAAACTATAAAAATGGCAGAGATGATATTTTCGTGTAAAAATTTAAATTCATCACTGTTTCTGCTTGATTTGAACTTTGAGGCGTTTATATAAAACAAACTTATCTTAGAATAAAATTTTTTCTATCTGTTATTCGATGTTCGAATATATCGTCTATACAAAAGAGAAAACACGGCAGAATGCGCACGTGGAAAGAAGAAAAGAAAACAGAAAAAAACGAAAAAAGTAACAGGACAGGAAAAATACCTAAATTTACTATAAGAAATAGCAAAGACCGTGGCGACCCTATCAGAAACTCAAAGTATAATTATAAGAAGCCCGCTGTCGGATTCACTGTGAAATTCTGCATATATTACCTTAGTTTCAACTAATTTGATGGTGCGCGGCAAAAGTACCGATTTTTCTAATGAATACAACTTTTTGATTTGCGACTTTTACCAAAATTCATTAAAAGGTTTGGTCTACAAGAGCCCGATACTTTGGAAAGTTTCGAGAACATCGATCAAAGACCACTCCGCTGCAATAGGTCGTGGCTTACGTGCAATGGCTTTTAAGACTGTTTTTTAGCTTCAGGGCTTTCACCACGCACAGGAATTCTCGGTAACGATAAAGAAATTTTTTTTTTGATTTGTAGATAATACCTAAAGCTAGGAGTGGACAGAGTCCGGTTTTTAAATTATGCCTCTATTTTTTATAGAAAAGAGGATTCTAAGAAACCTTAAAAGGATTTTTCGGACTTTAAAGTTCCATTAAGCACCAGAAATCAGTAAATGAGAAATCCAGTAATCGGGCTCTGTGAACTCCTAAGCGTAGGTCTTTACTGTAAAATAAAAACAGCCCGAGCTCTCCATCATTTACCTAGAATGAGAACTCCTGTGCGTGGCCCTTGTTGTGGCGCCCTCTCACGAACAGTTGCAAGTGATGCTAAAAGAAAAATTTCTTTATCACAATTTGACATGGTCAACCTTTCCTCAAAGTTTGGCTTAGATCAGACCTGCCTGGACTGAGATAGATTTCTAATCCGGGAGCGGGGGTGGGGGCCCTTAAGGAAATATCTTTTAAAATAAAGGGTTGTTTGGTCACATGTTAATTGCACTGCACTTGAAATATCCGTGGGTAAGCTGAGAATTTTATTTATTTCAAAGATAGTTAAGTGTATAAGTACAGATGTTGTGTGCAGCTCAGAATTCAAACTTCATTTTATTAATTAATTAATGCAAAGTTTTCGACTCGCGAACTCATCATTAGTGCACTTCTACAATAGAAAAACAAAGAACCATACATATCTATCTACTAGCAAATATACGTGTACCATTGACCAGAAGAATGTAGAATGTTTACATTGTATAGAACTAGGAAAGCAAAGAGAGTTACAAGAAGATGTTCTTACGTTTTTAAAAAATATTTTTATACTGTTGCATGTTACCATCTAGTTGGTCGACCTAATCGATAATTTTGTTCGTAAAATTCTTTGCAACACCAAATTTCATGATTTTTGAATGTTTTACCAACTAAATTTTCTAGTATCGCTTTGATTTCTTCGCGATTTGCTTTTGGAACAACATAATACGCTTTTGATTCATCAATAGAATGGCGCATGACATATTTGCAATAACGTTTGAACAGTTTTTCAATAAAATCACGATCAATCTCTTCATCGGGAAGATTTCGTACCATAAATACTCCGTCATGTAATTCTGCTTTTTCAGCCATTTTTTCGAACTTCAAAAATGATGTACGCCTTTCTGTAGAGTGTTTTTGTTCCTTATACACTTGAGCTAAGTATTTTTTAGTGCACGTATTTTTATTAAGCAATTCTTGTTTGGTATGATGAAATATCAGTTATGACTCATACCCACCTTACGGTCACCTGTCTAAATAGGAAAGACAAAACTATGATTACGGACAAAAGTTTTCATTGCTTTCATTGAGAAGAGATTAATAGATAGTTAGCAGAGCTCGAGTCGAGTAATAGGCGTGCTGCACAAGAAAACTATTCCTGTAACAATCGAACCAATTTTGATGAAACTTGGTATATAAGAGTTCTAAAGAGCGAGCTTTCTTTTGATTCACTTAAAAAGATTTTAAAATGATCCGAAATAGGACTTTCAGATAGATGCTTTTTTTTACGCACCGATCGAAAATAAATAAATAAAATAAACCTTAGCCTTACTAACGGACTGTTGCATTCAAGAACGTACAGACTACATTTCAAAGAAAAGAAACTTTCTCCATTTCTGTCTTTAGATTCTTGAATTAAATTTTAATATTCAAAATTTTTGATTATTAAATAACACGGTCTAGCAATAAGCCAAAGTTCTTTGGAAAAACCCATTTGATGGATCCGTCGTTTTGAACGAATTTCTAATCCAAAGCCTGCTGCCATTCTGTTTACACAACAGACATGTCAATCTGTTTGATAAGTGCAAAATATTCTTGCGGTTGATGGTCAATTCACCGGAATCAAGTTTTATCGGTCAAGGGTCAAGTAAATCGAAGTTATACTATCACTTGTTTATAACAGATCGAGTTATCCCCATTAATCACTATATGAACTGAGATTGGTTTCTTCGCTACTTCTTAATAAACGACACAATTTTGTTTTTACAGCACCATTTTGTTTTAAGGTCCCTACCAGATTTAAAAATGTGAAAGTATCAAATAGCTGAATAGCAGATTCGATAGAGAATTCTATTGCGCATTTACCCATATATAATTTTTGGTTTGAAACTGTGATCGTTTCTCAAAATATAATTTTTAAAAAGTCTGACCATCTGCTGACTAGAGATGTAAAACGTTTTTCAACTCAACAAGGAAGTATAGTGAGGATATGGTTTATACCGGATTTTGTAGAGTGGAAAATGCGCTATAAACTGTCGAATGATACATATTTCGAAATTTTTTGTTTATTTTCATTTTTTGGTGAAAATCTCAGCAATTTTTCAACGTAAAAATTCAAAAAAAGCCTAAGTACTCAGATAGACTAACGAAGTACACCATTCGACGCTGATTCCGAACATGGTATTTTTACTGCATAAAACTTGAATGCTGATGAATAAAAAACATCGATTTTTTACACTCCTGATTAGAAATATGAACTTTCTCGGTGACAAGTACTATGGAAAAACTTTTTCGATAGTGCCGGTCACGGAGAAAGTGATGAAAGCGATATGTATTTTTAAAGCTCGTTTAATGGGGGTTCTAATGAAGTGCAAACATCGACTCCATCTTTTCAAAATGAAACTAAGTAGGTTTGCAAAATGTTTTCTAAATTTTTTGCAAGGGGAGTCCAAGACTTACTGTTTTTTTTCTTTTCGGTATTCGTGTAATATATCGTTCGACTTTACTTTGTCCGAAGAATAAGAATATTATCTTATTTTTACAAAAGCCCATAAGAAAAATGAGAAAAATCAATTTCGGGACCAAAACGATTAATAATGTATATGACGCTTTTTCGATGTTGAATTTTTTTCTTATTAATACACCCGGTCTTGAAGACTCAGATTGTATTGCTAGATACAGTTAAATATCAAACAATTTTTGATGAAGTTTGGAAGCGGTACTCTATTTCTTTGACCTGCTATAGAAGTTTTAGTGCAGCGTATGAAAAATGAAAATTTGAAATTTTACTCGAAAAATATAAAAATACAAACATTTTTTCTCAAACAACAAACATGTTCTTTTAATTCTTTTATCATCAGTTTATAAGGCATTTTTCACTCTATAAAATCCGGTATAAACAATATCCTCACTATACTGCATAAAAACATGAGTAGATTTCCTTCGTCAAATCGGAGTCTATTAATTCTACGGATAGTTGTTATAAGGTTTGCCTTCAGTGATCTACTATAAAATATTACTCAGTTCACCAGAAACTCCATATGTATTAGTGTCAACAGTTCCAAATTGATCATCCTGGGCAGAAAAGATATGTCAGAAATCAGCCTCATACTCAGAAATGATGACTCATTACTAACTACATGAGGGTGATACTTTTGAGAACGTACCACGTTTACATCGACTTTGTCCGGATTGTTCTAGAGTAACAGGACTATCCCCCATAACAGAAGACCACCTGGTCTTCTATTTTGTCCCTCAGGTCAAGTTCTAAAGGGTGGCCTTTTATTGCGGTCAAATTGTGTCGTCTGTTAGTAGTTCAACGGTAACCTCACGTACTTACGAAGTCCGTCCCGTATTAGAAGTACTTTTTGGAGAAATGTTTTTGAAAATTCCCCTATAGGTATCGTAGGTAGGCATTTTCCGACTTTTTTCGCGGACATAATAGAAGACCCTTCCGTTATTGCATTAAAACCCCAGTATTTGTTTTTACCTTGTAAACGTTAACTTGTTCGTTATGGTCTTTCTGCCATATATGTGAAACAAAAATTCATTAATGTTCTTAATTAGCCTAGATAATTATTATTTAAATTAGGCTCTACTTTATCATTCATTTCACTGAGAATCGGCAGATTACTGCAGGATTTCAACTGAACTAGCAGATGAAACATTGTTCACTAGCTCACTTCCACTCTATATCAGTTCATTCTAAGTAGAAATGCTACATCTAAATAGTAAGAAAAAGCTACGAAGTGGCTTAACCCTTTACGGCCGGGTGTTGACTACCGGTAACATCGATCTATTAAGTGTCGGAGAAATTTCGTTCTAAAAGACTACACTTTGCTGATCCTGTCACAGCAAAACAATAAATATAAAGGGAGGAATATTTTTATTAGTTAATTTTTGGCAGCCGACAGAAAAGGAATATGCACAGAAGGGGATATTGTTACTAAATGGCTTATGCAGCCGGCCGT